TTCCATTTGTTGATCACTATAGTTTCATTGTAATGGTGGCATATAAGTCATATAACTTGCATAGATAAGTAATGTATATGGAAATAGTCATATGGTAAGGATCAAATTAACAAAAATGTTAACGTATTATACTGTATATACGAATTACATGTAATTGCATGCACCATAATGTGGGTAACAGCATTACTCCGATTGAGGCCGAATCTTACAATTGTAAAATGATAAGAATTTGTATCTCTGCGAACACAGGAAATAATTGAAGAATGACTGATTTAAAAAAAATAAAGATTCTTTGTATTAACTCCCTTGCAGCATACTTGCATGTGTAATTTATTGTCTATTCTTACATTCACTTTTACTTGTATTTTCACTTTATCATTTACAATTCACTTTATAGTTTATAATTTTCAGGCTAAAGGAGTAACAAGAACCACTCTATCCTGCACAGTTTGTTACAGTTTTTTTCAAAAAACTAGGAGATATCGAATAACTCTAAATCAATACATACAGTAGACTAGGATTACAATTCCACATTCTTGTATGTGCTATACAGGGGATTCCCGAACAATTTGGCTGAGAACAGGAAACAGATTTTATCGTGCTACCACGGGTGGTTCATTCTTTTGACGACTGATGACAAGCGTTTACCACTTTGGCTAGCTAATAGGGGATACTTCCCGCCATATATTACCTGTTCTCGCGGATTATATCAACTTGGATGTCCTTTGCGTGCTTTGAGGATGTTCTAAAATAATTCTGTATTTTGTTATTCCTTAGTTGTCGTTTTCTTTTGTGTTTTCTCCCACTTGCTACGTGAAATACGTCTGAATTTATTAATCCCAATATTTACTGCAAACTGCATGAAATCGTGCACTGTGCTTCATATATCGTACTGTACTATATACTGCACTGCACGGCGCTGCAGTACTGCACTGCACTGCACTGCACTGCACTGCACTGCACTGCACTGCACTGCACTGCACTGCACTGCACTGCACTGCACTGCACGTGTACAGTACAGTACAGTACAGTACAGTACAGTACAGTACAGTACTGCACGTGTACAGTACAGTACTGCACGTGTACTGTACTGTACTGTACTGTACTGTACTGTACTGTACTGTACTGTACTGTACTGTACTGAACTGTACTGCACGTGTACTGCACGTGTACTGCACGTGTACTGCACGTGTACTGCACGTGCACTGCACTGCACTATACTGTACTGTACTGTGCTGTGCTGTACACACATAACGTAACAATCTCACAACTTGTCAACAAGATGTGTTCGCAACAGGATCGTAACGTAAAAATCTCACAACTTGTCAACAAGATGTGTTCGCAACAGGATTGTAGCAAGCTTGTCAACAAGTTGTAACAATGCTGTTATTTTATCAAGTTGCTACTAGCTTGTCACTCACAACTCGTTGACAAATTGTTGAATTGCAGTACGATTACCTGTTGTTGGAACAAGTCTGTTGAACTCAACAACCTTGCAGCAAGTTGTCAACAAGTCGTTGACAACTTGTCAACAAGCTGGGAACAAGCAGTGCGAACACATCCTGTTGACAAGTTGTTGGAACAGCATTGTTACAAGTCTGCTGCACGTTTGTTACAACTTGCGCGTTTTTACGTATGTACTCTACTCTACTCTACTCTACTCTACTCTACTCTACTCTACTCTACTCGGCTCTACTCTACTCTACTCTACTCTACTCTACTCTACTCTACTCTACTCTACTCTACTCTACTCTACTCTACTATACTCTACTCTACTCTACTCTACTCTACTCTACTCTACTCTACTCTACTCTACTCTACTCTACTCTACTCTACTCTACTCTACTCTACTCTACTCTACTCTACTCTACTCTACTCTACTCTACTCTACTCTACTCTACTCTACTATACTCTATACTATACTATGTCTTGTTTCATGTGTGCACTAGTGACCAGTACCTGCATGGTGTAAATTGCATTGTACAATCCAGCAGTTAAACAATAACGTGGTAGATGATTGTGATAACATAATTTTTTAATTTTTTTAATCCAAATGAACATGTTGAATTTTTTCAGGGTTTCTATGCAAGAAACTATGTGCTATTTTGCATGTCTGAGATGGAGATTAAGGTGCTGCATCCTAGAAAGTGTGAACCAGCAAGGTTTACATTGTACAGTTAGCAGCATCAAGGCTACAACACGTGGACAATCAACCATTGTCAATGACAACATTGATCAAGCATGTCATAACCTGCCAGATAAAATAGTGACATAACTGAACATGGCCAGCATTCTGTTCTGCTGACACCTTCTTTAGTATAACATGTTTTTAATGGATGAAAAATTAAAGAAATCGGAAAAAAAAATAAAAGTAGTGTAAACTGTGGTCCATGCTCACAATTTCCCTGTGACTTATTTTTAAATCACATCGCCTTTTATCAGAAATTGCATTGCAAGTTGCAGATTTACTAGAGGAGGGGGGGGGGGG